AAAAAAAAAAAAAAAAAAAAAAAAAGGAAAAAGAAAAGCCTTTGCTGAGTATCTAATATGAATTCACTTCCTAATCTCCAAATTACTGTGCTGTTTCATCCTTTGCATCAATTTTACAAATCAGTAATGATTCTGCTCCCTTACGCTTATCTGTCTACTGACTGTCTACTGTCTCCTTGTTCAAGCATTTCAGTTTCCCGAGGGCAACTTCCACCAGGCCAGGCTTTGCGAGGGAGCTCAGGAGACACAGGCTAGTTGGCTGAATGAATAGAGAAGGGCAGTCACACCAGGCAGTCTCATAAATTACAGCACAAACTGGCAAGCACCACCATGGAGAGGAAAACACAGTGTGCCTGGGTGTCCTTGCAAAGAAAAGACTTTCTCTCCTCCCCCAAAGTTGGAAGCCTTAAGTTATGTTTTTTACAAGGCTTTGTGGTTTCACAGTAGTTCTTCATCTTTCTCCTGCATATCCACTAATAAATGTAGAAATGGGCCCAAGCTATGTGGTTAGGGAAGTTATATAAATCCTTTCACTCTTTGTTAGACATCTTTCAAATCTCAATAACAAGCTGGGAAAGTTTTATTGCATATTATACTGTACTTCAGAGCTGTGGCTCTCTGATTTTTTGGGTCTGAGGAACCCTCTGTGCTCCTAAAAATTATTGAGAACTCCAAAGGCGCTGTTTTTTATGTGGGTTATAGCTACCAATATTTGTCATATTAGAAATAACCAGAAAATTTAAAATATTTACTCATCAAGTCACTTAAAAAGGGTAATAATAAACCCATGACTATTAATATAAGTAAGACATTTTTTGAAATTACTATACCGTCCAAAACAGAATTTTTTTGAGAAGGAAAGCATTGTTTTACATTTTCCTAAAGCTCTTTAAGGTCTAGTATAACTGAAGGCAGGTGGCTCTTCACATTTGCTTCTGCGTTCAAGCTCTTGTGCTCACGCCAGGCAACCCCTAGAAAACTCCACTGTACTTAGAAAAGCCTTTGCTGAGTACCCTGTATGAATTCATTTCTTCATCTTCCAAATTACTGTGTCGTTTCACCATGGAGAGAAAAACACAGAATGCCTGGGTGTCCTCACAAATGAGAGTGAAAGAGGAAAATAAAATCTCAGTATATTTATGAAAATGGTTTTGACTTCATAGATCCTTGGAAACAAGTATGAAGGACAACCTTGCTCCCCACAGGTGCCGGGCCACACTCTGATACTATACTTCGAAGAGCGAGGTGTCCAAGAGCCTCCTCACATGTGAGGGTAGGAGGAGCATGGAAGATTACTAACAGAAATTCAACTCACGGCTGCATTTTCACCCTTGTGATTGATACGTGTTACTTAGGGTCAAAAACGCAAAACACTCATGCACCCATTATGCCTAAAACAAGACTTACCAAAGTGAGTTTTCACATTTAAAGTAATCTTTACTTGGGAAACTCATCTAGCACATTTAGAATGCGGTTTCATTTTCAAAATGTTGTTTCACATAGTGTGTAAGAAACACACAACTGTGTTAAAGGAGGGTCACTTGTTTGATGCCACACAAAATGGCATTTGGTAACGCTGATCCAAGAGACAATGTAAGGGCAAAGAAAGTTTGCTAGTGACTGGAAGTTATTTATAATAGAACTGTTTTTGAGTGAACAGCTGTTCCAGTTAGAATGAAAACTACTGGCTGCACAATGGCACATATTGTTTGACGAAGACACTTAACATCTTTTTCAAGTTAGTAATCATATCATCGGAAAGTGCCTAATATAAGCTCACTAGAGCACAAGGCCCTCTTCTGAGGTGCCCTGCACCATTAGATGCCTGCCTCTTCCTGCCTTCATGGAAATTAGAAGTAAAGTGCAAAGAAGGGTCACCAAAGAACACACAGTGAGACCAAAAAAAGGCACACAGAGAAAAAGCTTAAGGTGCTCGGGAAAATCCTTAATAATCATTCTTTGAACTTCAATAAGTCATCAGGGATGCTGCAGATGTAGACATGAACTTATGCTCACTTACTTGCTGAATAAGTTATCTAATTCAAGCATATTATTTCAGCACATGGATTGGGTTGCTTATTTGTCCGATACCCAAATATGACCTTCTTGTTTGCTACAGCATACGATGAGCACAAGTCTCATCAAACTACAAACTTCTAGT